AGATCAAGATTTTGTTATTGTTTTAAAAAAACAAAAAAGTTGATTTGATTTCGCTAAAATAATTGAAATAATTACTAGGTTCAGACAATATATCTATGCACGATTTCTTGAATTTCATAATGTATAGGTTGAACAAAAATTAACATTTTAGTATATGATGCGTTTTCGTATAATAGTAAGTAATTTTGAATTTTTAATGATTTTTTGAAACCTTACGTACTTAAATAAATCAGGTATAACATGAAGATTATTATTATCAAAACAAACAGCCAGGGTGACTACTATTGCAGGTTTGACCTGCAATAGGAAAAGCTTTATCACTAAGTACATAGTCAATATAGCTATTTATGTTCTTTTATAGGAATTAGATATCTGGTTGTTGTGTTCCCTTCTGTAAAGTTTGAAATCCTACTGGACCAGAAATTGGATATCTAAGGAGATTATAGCAAGCAATCGTTCTACAGACACATTAGCGACTACTATTGCAAGTTTGCGGTAGGAAAAGTTTTGACTCCGTCGTTAAGTACATGATCTATCGATAATGTGGTTGTTTGTGTTCTCTTCTATAAAGTTCGCAATCTCTCTTTAGGAGAAATTAGATATCTAAGGAGATTTTATAGCAAGCTTCGTGTATATAAACGTTCCCTTCCCTAAAGTTTGAAATCTCTCTTTATGTAGAACTTAGATATCTAGAAGATTATATAGCAAGCTTCGTGTATATAAACACACTAGCGACTACTATTGCGAGTTTTAACTCCCAATAGGAAAGGTTTCAACTCCGTAGTTTGGATATATAATTTATTGATTATATGGTTGGTTGTGTTCCCTCCCGCGATATTTGAAATCTTACTTTACAAAAATCAGATATCGAAACCTTACTTGAAATTAGACTATAATTAGCACAATAATGTCTATACACATCTTATAAATAAAATATTTTTGCTTTATATGTACCATACTAATGTTTATTTGATATTTTATCAAGCACGAAGTGAATTCTAATTGTGTAAGTAATTTTTGGGACATGTATGTCACAGAACTTGAGTCAATGGTAAGTTTATTTATACAGTCGATACTGTATATTGCCTAACTAAAAATCGCATGTTTAATTATAATGTATTTATATATTACAATTCCGAATAACTATATATTATATTCAATTTTAGATACCTGATATCGCACAAAGGTACACTAATATTCATGAAGAATCTTTAGCGTTGGCACTGGAAGTAAGTAACATCAATATTAGTAATTACAATTGTGATATTAACAACAACCAGACTAACGATTATGAAAGCATTGATGAATTAAGTGATGACACCATGAGTGATGATTTAGACAGCTGTGGAATCCATGATTTTAAGAGTGCAGATACTAACGTTGATAGTATTAAACCAGAGATTCATAAGATTCATAGAGCTAATAATTTTAAAAATCTTAGTAAAAACAAGATGGTGACACCTATTCTGTGTAAGAGAAAATGGGAAGTAATTACTGTTGATACAAGCATTCATCTATTTATTGAGCCTTATAGCAAGTTAATGTTTAGTTTGCAGGAGCATCATGTAGAAGAGGACTCACAGCGCGCGTGTCATCTAATTGAAATGCTAAAATGGTCAGTTGTCAATAGAGATAGTTTCATTGAAGTTGGTTAGGAGAGCAATCAAATAAGTAAAATTTCAATACCACGAATTAAGTTTAGTATTGTTGCAGATGCTCTACAAGATCATGCAGATCAAAGACTTCATTTTGCTGCAACAACACTCAAAGCATTAAAAAAGAAAGAGAAACTTGGCAACAAGAATATTGGCTGGTTAACATTTCCTGTATTCTTTGAAGATCTTTTTAAGAAAAAATCGAATTATTATGACCTCGATGTTATTACTGTTGTTACAGTTATATCAGCAGTTTTTTTATACAAACCTACTCCATTCTGTGGTCTAGGAAGTATGCTTTCCGAAAATCACATAAAAATCGAGCTTTGGTCTAAGATCCTGTCTACCGCTATTTCCCTTCATCATTCAGAGTTTTTTTTTCTGTATAGGAATTAAAACATTTAATATCTGGAAATGCTGGATGTGGTTCATCATATTCTGATTTTTTCTGCGATTGTAACCAATCAAAATAACATCCAGTTTGTATTTTTTTTTGGTAGAATTTGAGCGAAATAGGTTCGAATGCCATAAAGACAACATCGTAGCTATTGCAAAAACTACTTATAAATTTAATAGGATTTTGTCTTTGGCACATGATCCGTCAGAAGATGAAGTCAATCAAGTTCAATTACATATTGGATTAGTAAATGCAATGACAATTCATCTTAGTATGCTTGAACCTGTATATAATAAAAAACAGTCGAGGCTAGTCTATATT